CCATGATATTGTCATGGTGCACATTTAACATTCACTAGACATTGCCCTCCAGTATAGAACTAAGGGATTCTATGGATAACACCGAACTGTCTTTTCACTTCCAGTTTCCAAAAATGACATGAATTCAGAAATCTGGATTCTAGATGATCACTTTGGCCATTTTTTCTTTTAAAAAATCATTTTTATTAAGGTTTTCCTACAGAAATAATTTAAAAAACAAAAGGTTCAACAGGAAAAAAATTGGGGTGGAACTAGGGATGGGATGGGGGTAAGAGATGGGGATGGGGAAAAGTAGGTAATTGGGAGTTGGGTTGGGAAAAACAAACTTCCAATTGTCTTCATGTCGGTAATGATGTTTTTTTTTGTAGTCTTTCCTTAATTAACAGTTGTCAGTCTTACAATATCTTCCTGAAGAGTGTTGTATTCCAGTCTTTATCTTAAGTCAATAATCCATTTCCAGTTTTCTTGTGTTATAAAATTCTTTACTAAAGACCAGTGCATTTTTGTTGTATTCAATTTTTGATTTGCATTCATCAGTTGGGTCAATTTGTCCATGCTTCGGCCAATTTTTTGACTGGAAGTATGATGATGATGATTACTACTAGTAGTAGTAGTAGTCATACTACTACACTCCTTTCCCCACAATCGGGACTCCCCAGGATTTAAAAGAGCATCCCTGCTCTATTACATTTTTGAGAACTATACACAAAGGTCTGCACTTGTTATCAGTTCACTTTGTCCTATTTCCATGAAATGCTTTCAGATAAAAGTATCCTCTTTATTGTCCCAGGCCAGTTAAAAGTTTGGAAATCACTTGGATTTGCACATAAATGGATCAGCTCTTACTGCTTCATGAAACTAGCTCCTGCATACTTAAATGTGCTGAAATTCATTCCCTAATGGCTTTAAAAACATCATTTGAGCTTGTTGGGTGACTTTTGTTTTCAGCAACCATACTAAATGGAGGTTTAAATATTCAATATCATGGGAGAGGTGTAGTCCGTCAGTAGGGATGTGCGATCCATTAAAAATGGTTCAAAAGTCATTACAAAACTGGGGGTGCTGGTGCTTAGTTTCTAAAGTGCTTCTAAAGTACAGTTTGTGAAAAATTCAACACTACAATGTTATTACCATTTCATTATAATAATTTGTGTATAATTACTATAATTGGGGAAACTCCAGGGGCTCCTTTCCCCCTCATTTTTAAAGCTTTTGGAGTGCAACTTGCTACAATGGTAGAATACATTTACCACTGTTTGTCTATCAAATTTCAGAAAAGTTTACATATCCACAGATTTTTGGGGAATTTTCAAAGTCTTTATAAACAACTATTTTTTTTTAAAAAAACAAAAAACTACAGGATCTATCTACTTGAATTTTATATACAATGAACAAGATAACCAAGGCATCAATTCCCAGAAGTTTCAGAAAGATTCACACATCTACAGATTTTGGGGGGATTTTTAAAAGTTTAGATACAAACAAATCCCCCCTCCCCGTGACAAGAGCAGTTCCCTTGAATGTCGGTCTGTCTTTATGACACACAACCACATAACTTCAACTTAGCACAGATTTATACTATTACTTACTTTAGTCCTCTTTGCAGATTCAATAATTTTATTTATTATTATTTGACTAATTCCAAAGGGCTAGCTGATGCAGTGCTCATTAGGTCCTTCAGATGCTGAGTATTGCATTCTGAGAAATGTAGTTTAGGGCACGGGGTTTTGCATTCTCTGCTACAAGGGGCCTCATCTTCCCACACTTCATTTAAGATGGCTGTCTTCTCAGTTTCCCACCCATTAACTTTAATCCTGGCCCCAGTGCCTTCCTTATGGTGATTGGGACAAAGAAAAACACAATTGGTTTTTAAAACACTTGGTTTGCTTTTTTTTCCCTCTTGGCTTTACCAAAGTTGCTTAATGCTTATACTGAAAATTAAACTAACATTGGAAGGCATCTGATTATTACAGAATATTAATGAAAATTCTTGGTGAGTGTTTCAATTTCTAAATCCCTCAAACACCTTTACTACATGTTTCTACTATTGATTCATATGTACAAATGTAACAAATTTCATCTGAAATACGAATTAAAAATGAAATTATGCACTAGCCTAGTAGTCAGGCAAGAACCTAGAGACATATCCATATTTTTTCTCTTCTACCCATTTTTATTTTCTGTAACTCTCTATTTCTATTCCCATCTCTCTCCTGCTTTAAATGAGGTCAGAAAAAACATCTCTCATGAGTGTTGTGGACTGCTCTTCTGATTCTGAAGGAGAAGGAGGACAAGTGGATGAAGAAACAGCACTTGGGGATTTGGGGATAAGTAGTGAGGAGGAGGAGGAAGAAGAAATGGCAGGTATATCACCAGAGATGGCCCTAGGTAATTTTCAACGGTAAGCAAACAGTATTTTGCCCCCCCTCCACCCTACCAATCACTGATATATATTTTCTGTTCATCGTGGGAGTTCTGTGTGCCATATATGGTTCAATCCCATCATTGGTGGAGTTCAGAATGCTCTTTGATTGTAGGCGAACTATACATCCCAGTAACTACAACTCACATATGTCAAGGTCCATTTTCCCCCAAGAGTGGCTCAAGAGCGCCCCTGGGCAAAATCAACTATACTGCGAATGCTTACTTTGAGTAATGGGTTGAGCCACCCCTGTATATCACAAATCCCCACATTTCAGGAACGATGAAGAGAGGAAGAAGTCAGAAGGAGATCAGGTAGGTTTACAGGGAAAACGCTGAGCAATCAGACCACACCTTAGAGACAGACTTGCTGGGAATTCAGGGCTATAAAACAGCAGCAAAGTCAGGGACCTGGTGCTGAAGGCAACTGACCTACTTCAGGGGCATTCCTGTTCCAAGTACGATGTCTCCATTCCAGCATTGGTCCTTGCTGAAGGCTCTTGACTATTGACATTTGTTTCTGCAACGTGTAAGCTTGTTTATCAAACACTCTAGTTTCCATCTGATGTGAAGACTTTTGTTTTATGTTTGCTTGAAGACCATGCATTACCACCGGGACTATACTTTCTGTTTCACTTATTGCATTATCTTTATTTTGGCCTTTTTATTTACTTTCACTTGTGTTTAAGGCTATTTCTGGTGAAAACCCAGACAATGAGATATATTTTTGTCTTCAGATTGGGTCTCTATAAAACATGTTTCCAAGTCTATCCAGCTACAATGAATCCTTCAATTCTGAGTTTCAACTGGATTAAACATATTGCTCTGGTTCCCCAGGCAACACAACTCAAGACAATGAGTAACTGACACCAGCCATGTCACATCTGCTGGCCATTGATGCCCATTCTACTCTGCCATATAATACAGATTATCAAAGCAGATAATCATAGAATCATAGAGTTTGAAGAGACCTCATAGGCCATCCAGTCCAACCCCCTGCCAAGAAGCAGGAAAATTGCATTCAAAGCACTCCCGGCAGATGGCCATCCAGCCTCTGTTTAAAAGCCTCCAAATAAGGAGCTCCCACCACACTCAGATGCAGAGAGAGAGTTCCTCTGCTGAACAGCTCTCATAGTCAGGAAGTTTTTCCTAATATTCAGGTGGAATCTCCTTTCTTGTAATTTGAAGCCATTGTTCCGCACCCTAGTCTCCAGGGCAGCTGAAAACAAGCTTGCTCCCTCCTCCCTATGACTTCCTCTCACATATTTATACATGGCTATCCACATTATCTGCTTTGAACTGGATTATATGAGTCTACACTGCCATATAATGCAGTTCAAAACCGACAATCTGAATTTTATGGCAAATAATCTGGATTTTATATGGCCCGAGACAACAAGTATGGGAATGGTATTGTAAAGCTGGCAACACTGAAAAAGGTTAACACTGGACTGTCAGGATTCATTCCTGCATCTGCCGGGGCCAGGGTGTTGGTCAAAATTATCGTGTGGCTGATTTGGCATTTGGCACTTGGATCAGCTCAAGGATAAAGAATAACAGATTCAAATTGTGGGGAAAGAGATTTTCCCTAAACATAAAGAAAAACTTATTGTTTGACAGTGGATTATGTTGCCTCGAAGTATGGTGGAGTCTTCTCCTCAGGAGATTTTTAAACAGAGGTTGGATGACTATAAGTAGAAAATGCTTAGATACTGCATTCCTGTAAGGCAGAATGGAGCTGGAGTGGATGACCCTTGCAGTCTCTTACAATGCTGTTTTTCTATGATTCTTTGAAATATTAATTGCCCCAAAAATGTTGTGGCTGTTTTCTCTCATATCACAAAGATTGTAAAGATTGTCGCCATACTAAAATGTATTACTCTGCTCCCCTCTTGAGTAAATGTTCTTCTCAGTGATCTCAACGGGATATAATAAAACAAGAAATGTATATTACCCAAAATGTGTGTGTCTGTGTTTAGTACCTTTATCAAGAGGAAATTGTAAATGGAGATAAAACACTTTATATAAAGAACATTTAAAACAAACTATTAGAAAAAGTACATGCAACAATTAAACATAATGTTTTTATGTTTTATAATGTATTTTCAATATTTTGGGTGCTGTGTTGCATTTCAAGAACTGACAAAGTATACAAACATTTTTGTTATATAAACATATCATTTTGCAAATCACTTAAAAGGTGTAACACCTGGTTTTGAATGCAATTGAGATATATGAGGCATATAAATGTCGTAAATAAATAAAAAATACATTGACCTTGTTTTTGTTCTTATGTGACATCAAGTTGACTTCAACTTATGGCAACACAATGAATGAAAGATCTCAGGGAGCCCAAGTCGTCAGTTCAGGTTTTGCATATTCAGGTCTGTGGTTTTCTTTATTTAATCAATCTGTCTTTCATGAGGACTTCTTCCTTTTCTTCTTGTTTATTCGTTCAGTTACTTCCGACTCTTCTTGACCTCATGGACCAGCCAACGCCAGAGCTCCTGGTTAGATGTGGCAACCCCCAGTTCCTTCAAAGTCAAGCCAGTCACATCAAGGACACTATCCATCCATCTTCCTTTTTCCTTCCATTTCCCCACATCATTGTCTTCTCCAAGCTTTCCTGTCTTCTCATTATGTGGCCAAAGTATTTCATCTTTGTCTCTACTTTGCCCAATGTTACTGTC